CCAGGTGGCCGCGGTACTTGAGCCAGGGCCCCGCCATGGAGATGTGGTCCGTGGTGCACTTGCCCTTGACCTTGATGAGCACCGCCGCGCCCTCGATGTCCTTGCCGTCCCAGGGCTTGAAGGGCTCCAGCAGCTGCAGCCGGCTGCTGGCCGGGTCCACGTCAACCTGTTCAGGGGGGCAAGGGGGAGTCAAGTCGGAGTTGAGTGCGCAGGTGCGGTTTGAAGGAACAGTGCCATCATGTGTGTATAAGGTTCGGTGGTGGGGTGCGTGTACGTCCGAGCGTCTTGTGTCGAGAGCAGGGCGGCGCGTCTCGCATGGGCATGGGCATCCGTGCGTGTGCTTGTGTATGCAATGGCTGCGCGCCCGTTCGCCTGGGCCAGCTCGTGCTGGTAGCCACGCCTGCCTCAGGTACTGCGCTGCTCTGGCGCTTTTCAGCACCCAGCCCAGGCCCTGCTGCTGCGCCCCAGGGCTGCCTCACCCCTCTCTCTCACTCTCACCTTGACGGAGGAGCGTGTGGAGGGCTCGGGGGGCGCCTGGTAGGTGTCGGCCCCGGCGTCAAAGCCCTTCTGGGGCAGCTCGTCGCCGTAGGGGCTGTCCAGCTTGACCTCCTTGCCGTCAGCCCCCACCAGGGCGTCGGTCTCGGGGTTGAACGTCAGGTCACCTGTTGTTTTTGGGCGGGGGGATGGAGGAGAATTAGTTGTTTGGAGGGGCACGGCACAAGGGGTGCGGCTGACGTAGGCACCTGTGGGGGCACGGGACACGGGTCGTGCGCAGGCGCGTCTGCAAGGGAGAGAAATCAACAGCTCGACGATCATAGAGGCGAAAGCAGGACGAGGGCGGGGTGGCGGCGTAGGAGGGGCGCGGAAGGGCATAGCGGGGCTCGCGGCGCACCCGCGATGGCGAAGGCCGTGACGATCTCTGGTGAGGCCACGAAGGCGTGTGTGGCGGGGTTGCCGTCGTTGCGCGCCGCAAAGTTGCGGTTGAACGACGTGATGATGCTGTTGGGCTCGCCCTGCATGGGGGGAGACGGCGGCGGAGGGGAGAGTATGCAGATATTAGGCGATGCTGGGGGCCACGCAGTGCGCGTGAAAAGCTGGCAGGTCGGCCACACAACAAGCTGCTTGCAGGCGAGGGCGTCGCCGCCCCACCCCGCGCCGCATGACATCGACACCGACACAACGGTGAGGGCAAGACAAGACATTGGGACTACCGAATGTCGTGCCGCTGTTGCCGGATCTCAGCCGCACCTTGGGCACGTCCGTGCGCTTCCACTGGCCGATGCAGGGGCCGCAGGCGTTGGCCATGACGGTGCCGCCGACCTTCTCAAACACCTCCATGATACCGTCGCGGCTGATGGTGGCGCGGATCTGCTCACTGCCGGGGCTGATGGAGAACGGCACCTGGGGCGAAATTTGGGGGAGGGCGTGGCGGGCCAACAGGGTTGACGGCACTGGGTAGGCGGCAGGAGGGGCGGCCAGGAATTGATCCCACTTATGCAGGTGGCGATGCCTACGTCGTCCTAGGCGGCCCGGGCCCCCTCTGTGAAGAGGGGCGGCCGTCGCGGGCCCCAGGCGAGCAGGGCGTCCCACCTTGGACTTGATGCCTGCTGCGAGGGCCTGGCGCGCCACGCTGGCTGCGCGCTGCATGTCCTCGTAGGAGCTGTTGGTGCAGCTGCCAATGAGGCCCGCCTTGAGCTCGGTGGGCCTGGTGCGGATATAATGAGTGAACACATCGTCTTGATTGAGCCCGTTGGTGGTTAGGATCGACCCGGGCTGGTCAGGGTGCAGAGCTCCGGGCGCCTGGGCACACGACAGCATTGGAGCTGTCACCAAAGCGACTGATCAAGTCTGCTGACTCATCCTGGCAAAGACGGCAACCCCTGCCGCGCGAGCAACGAGGGTCAGGCAGCGGCAGCAACACGATGCGACAGGAGCGCGAGCACCAGGCCCGAGCGCGCCCCCAGGCACCCGCCGCCTCACCAGCCGTTCTTGCGCAGCGCCTCTGCAAACTGCGACAGCGGGTGCGCCAGATCGGGCGTGAAGGGCCCGTTGATGTGGGGCTCCAGGGTGGTGAGGTCGATCTCAATCAGCTGGTCGTACTGCGCCCCCTCGTCCGCCTTGAGGTTGGCACTGCAAGGGTGGGCACGGAGGGAAAGTTCATTTAGTAGAAGACATTGCATGTGATGGACTGTTTGATCACAACAGCGTGAAAACACAATGCCACTGTGCGTGTGTGCGTGTGTGGGGGGGGTGTATTGCCGTTCCTGGAAACCAACACAGCTTGCACGGCTGGGAGGCGGGAAGCGAGGCAAGGCGCGTGCAAACGAGGCAGAGCGAGGCACATGCACATGGAGGGACTCACGCAAAGCCGTCGGCGAGGGCGGCGATGCCCTCGCGCCCCGTGGCCGTGAGGTAGTCCCTCATGCGCTTGTTGTAGGGGAACATGGAGGTGGTGGCGCCGATCTCGGCCCCCATGTTGCAGATGGTGGCCATGCCGGTGCAGGACAGGTTGTCGACGCCGTCACCAAAGTACTCCACGATCGCACCGGTGCCGCCCTGGCCAGAATCGCGTGGGTTGGTTCGCTCGCTCAGCTCGCTGGACAAGCATAAGGCGCCGGCAGGGCGGCAGGGCACACGCGGCGATGCTGGCCAGGGGTGGACCAGCCGCAATGGCCCGGCGGCTCGCTTGACAGGGGAGCTGGCTTCCCAGCGTCTGGCTGGTGGACGAGGGACGCCAGCCCCCGAAAGCCCTTGGGGCGCAGGAATCCCCTAAGAATTTGCACAGCTGCCTCCTAAACAGCCCCGGTCAAATTGCGAGGCCGCTCACCCCTGGTCAAACCGCGAGGCCCCTCACCCACAGTCAAATCGCGTGGCCCCTCACCTTGACCGTCAGTATGCCTGCCACCTTGAGGATGACGTCCTTGGGGGACGTCCACTTGGACAGCTTCCCGGTCAACTTCACACCGATGACCTGGCGGTGGAGGAGAGGGGAGGGGCGCGCTTGGACGGGCGTGCCATGCCGACCGCATGCGTGCGACAGCGCGCGACAGGGGTGCGCGGGGACGGGCGCGTGCAAGGGGTGCAGGCGTGCCGCTTGCAGTGAGGCAGGCCGTCTGCATGCCAGTGTTTGGCCAGCATTCTGGTGCAGGGGCGTCAGGAGCATGAGGCTGGGTCCCGCTGTCCATCCCGTGCCGCCCCTGCTGACCCACCACCTCGCGACCACGACATGGCCTTTCACCAGTGCCTACAACACGCCCCTGGCCCCAACCGCTCCGGCCAGCCGCCGGCCACATGTGCCAGCCGCGTCGGGTGCGTGAGCCTGCCGCCTCACGACACCCCAAAGCCGTCCCCACTCACCAGCCGCAGCTCAGGCCACCGCCTCCGCCGCCCCTGCTGCACCTGCCCCTCCCCTTTACTTTGCACGCACACACAATCACATATACACACACCCGCGTACACACCCACACCCACATACATGCACCCCCATTAGCCCAGCCACCCACCTTGGGTGCCTTGAGCTCCCAGGGCAGCCCCGCCATGACGTCCACCGCGTCAGCACCGCCCACACCCACAGCGCACATGCCCAGGCCGCCCGCGTTGGGCGTGTGGCTGCGTAGGAGGAGCACGGGTTACGCGGATCGCATCGCGGGGTCAGCAGGCGGCGTCATAGTGCTGCGGTGCGAGACACACAGCACCGCACCGCAAGCGAGGGACTGAGCAGGCACGAGTGTTTTCTGGAGGCGCGACACTCTCTCATCGGTGCCCACAGCCTCGACGCGCCTCCGCTTGTGGCTTGAGACGATGGAGGCGAGCTGGGGCCGTGACATCTGTCCAAAACCAGCCCAAAAGCACGCTCAGGCCAGCACTCTCACACCAGCTATCGCGAGAAACCAGAAGCAAGTCTTCACCCATGCCCTGGGCTCTAACAAACTCATGGGGTCCCTGACGAGTGCCCAAATTGCCTTACCCCCGCCACTAGCGCCGCAGCCCCGTCTCCTGCGCGGCAACCCCCCACGCGTCCCAGCCACCAGCGGCCCTCAACACGACTGCACGTAATCCGCCACCACAGGACCGCACCATCACCCAGGGCCCCCCTACTGCCCAGCGCTGCCGCAGCACACACCACGTCTCCTCTCCAAACCCCCAACTTGGGGCGCGCCCACCTGTCAGTCCCGATCATCATGCCGCCCGGAAACGCGTAGTTCTCCAGCACGATCTGGTGGATGATGCCGCTACCGGGGCCCCAGAAGCCCACGCCGTACTTGGCGCCGGCAGACGCGAGGAAGTTGTAGACCTCCTTGTTGGCGCTGCGCGCCAGCTTCAGGTCCGCGTCGGCACCAAAGCTGTTCTCCCTGGGGAGACGGGGCGGTGAGGGGCGCGGGCGAAGGGGTGGGCAGGCGCACAGCGTGTCAAGTGGGGCTTGACCGAGCTGTCGGCTGCGGCAGAAGCGTCGCACTCTGGGAACCTGGCTGCCGTCGCATTGAGGCAGCTGCGCCACTCCAGTCCCCGGCCAGTCCAACCTCGTGCCCAGCATTGTTCGCCAGCTGCCCTAGGGTTTCCGCTGCCTGCGCCAAGCGCCCTGCCTCCCGCCGCGCCGCGCCCGCACTTGCGTCCGCGCCCGCACCGCACCTGTCGGCCTGCGGCGAGGTGGTGCCCTCAATGAGGTGGTCGCAGTGAATGGTGGAGGGCACCATGGTCTTGGGCAGCCCTGAGCTGATGAATTGAAGCATCGCCATCTGGGCGGTGGCGTCCTGCATAGCCACGCGGTCTGCGGGATGGCGGGGAAAGCAGGGGGGCCGGTGACGGAGGCTGGCACCGGCGGCTGGGGTCTACACTTGAACTTTGCAGCCGGGGGCACTCCGCCAGCACGGCCAAGCTGCAGGCAATCATTGCGTCGCAACGCAGGCAGCCAAGTGGTGAGCTCCTCACCAGGCCGCAGCTTGAGGTAGCTGACGCCGCGCTCTATGTCCTGCGACTCAGGGTCGTCCAGGTGGCCATACACGACCTGCAGAACGGGATGCCGTGGCCGGCCACGTGGTTGTTGTCATCGTGCAAAACCGGTTGCGTTGGCGTGCCCCGAGCCAACCCAAGGCGGATGTGGTTGGAGCGGCTACAAGCATGCTGTCAACGACAACACGGCATGTTGGTGGCCACTGTCACAGGGTCAGCCGTCTGCTGCGCATCCCCAAGCGCCACATGCCAGGCGCCGGGGCAACCGCATCAAGCAGTCCGTCGCCCACCTTCTCTGCAAGGGTGAGCGGCTTGTTGAGGCGCTTGCGGACAATCTGCGCGTTGGTATGGAGTATGTGGTGAATTATTAAGAGGTCGCGCGTCTACCCAGGTGTCCTGGCCTGGGCGAAACAAGCTTCGAAGGGCCCGCTGACAACAACAGCAAGCCCCGGAAGCGAAGGGTGACTCGGACACGGAAGCACTCACGGCAAGGCGCTTCTCCATAGCAGCATAGCGCTCATTGAGCGACTCGTCCGGCTCGAACTTGGACATGGGGACGTCAGAGGCCATCCGCGTCGAGATCACAGCGAAAGGCTGCCGGCTGGAGAGGCGGTGGCCAGCCTGCGCATGCAGAATGGGTGAGCAGGCATTACTCATTCGGACGCGGGCGCCAGAGGAGACGAGGAACACCCAACAGCAGGGAGACCCCAGTGCTGCACCTGCACCAAGTGCTGCTGCAGGGCCTTGGCGCGCCTCATGGCTGCTGCGAAGTTTCTAAGGATGTATCAATGTAGATTCAAGTCTAGATCCAAAGTGGCTGCTCCAGAGGACGCTGGGGTTGGCTCCGCGCCAGGGGGCAGCAAGTTGGAAAAAAGCCCTGCTTCACTCCGGCAACGTGCAACAGCGTCAACGATGTCTTAAGAAGACACAAGGCAATGCTATCGCCAAGCGAATGGCGACAAGCAATAGCCGACTGCTGCGCTGCAAGCACAACGGCGAGGAGGCTGACAAGGGGTCACGGGGTGAGATTGCAAAACGTGCTGAGCCCGATGGCCGTACTTTAGATGCGTGCACAAAAATTTTACTCGGCTGGAAATGATCGCGTTGGGTTGCGTGCACCGAGGGTACCCTGCATATGATTGACTTGGACATTTTCCTTCTCACTTTTCTCCCTGCATCGATCACTCATTCCTGCAAGTATGGCAAGAGTATTTTCCATTCTTCCCACCTTTCACCTGCAATAAAAGTATACCTCAACTACCTTGGAGTCGTAGTCGGCCGTCACCTGCAATGTTGATATCATCTTTACCCTCCAGCATCAGCGATGCCAGAAAGGTGGCGCGCAGAGGACGCTTGGGCCATCACGGCCGAACAGCATCTCAGGTCCCGGATTTGTACGGACCCCCCCCCCCTGCGTGCCACAGGTGGGCAGCTGAGCAGCCCAAAACAAAATCATCTTTCACTCCTGGATTGGGCGCCACTGCACTTTCACATAACGTTCGTCTTGTTGACCAATGTGAAAGACCACCCCTTTCGCAGGCCGCAGAGGGAGACCCCATGAGACATGCACTTGCATGACGAATCGAGTTCAAAAGTATTCGCAATGGAATTGCGTGCCCACACCACACAAGACCTGTGTGGCGGAGTTAGTGGTTGCAAAATGGCGTTCACGCTGACCAAATTTAATTTGAGGGCTACCAGGCTTGGCTGTGACCAGATATACGGTCACATGACTTGTGAGCATAAGATCAGCCATCTTGTGGTAGGAGAAAGCATCGCATCAACCAAACTGATCCCTTATCATAATCACTTCTGGGCTTCTTTCGACCCTGGTCGAAAGAAGCCCAGTAAAATCGGTGTAATAGAAGCGGTGCACAACTTTTCGTACTGCTGTGACAGCATTGCTTTTGGTCCTGCCTGGACTGGGCCTCCTTGATAATGTACGAAGGAACATCAGTGATGAGCACAGCAGGGTCATTACATGCGCATGGCTGTGCTGCATCGCAGGTGTGCCGTGTCATAATTGTGCTGCTTGAACGCGCCAAGCTTGTGCAAACACTCAGTGCCATGGCCAATGGTGCAACGGCAGCGCACCAATGTGCGCGCAATGAAGTCCCTGCTACACAAAGAACGTACAGGGCCAACCAGCAAAACCCAGTCATTGACAAGCTGCAGGTCATCTCAGCCATGCGCATGCGCGCCGCCGGCGCCTGAGGTGTCTCTGAGCTTGGCGCTGCCTGCCAGCAGCCCCACCGCGGCGCAGTACAGCGCCACCTGCCCGGCCACCAGCGCGCGTGCCGCCGCCGCCTCGCCGCCGCGCCCGCGGTGCTCCCTGAAGTGCAGCTGCCCCCAGATGACGCCCACCACGGGGTAGGCCATCACCAGCTGCGCCGCCGCGTAGCCGACCGCCTGGCCGCCCACAAACTGGGTCAGGTCGCCGGCGGCCGCCAACAAGCCGGACAGCACGCTCAGCAGGCGCCCGTCGTTGTCTCGCAGCCAGCCCGCCAAGCTGGACTTGCGGCCGCCCAGCGGGGGCCGGTAGAAGAAGCAGATGTTGGCGGTGGCGGAGGCGGTGAAGAAGCCGGCTGCGAAGTAGAAGTTGGTGGTCCAGACGCTGGGGGGCGGCGTGTCGGGGGGCAGCAGCCGGAAGGCGTCGGTGGCCGCGATCTGGAAGGCGGGGAGAAACAGGCTGTAGACAGCGCCGCCTGTTGGTGGTTTGGTGATTGGATGTGAAATAAAAGGATGTGCAGACGAAGATTGATTTGCATGATATGAGCATGTTGGATGGTGGACAAAGTTCGACAGCATGTGCAATGTACAGGGGGGGGGGCTGCTGGCCCTCCCTTGGTTTGCTGGGGTGAAGCATGCTGCTCAGGCTCCTTCACTATGCAGGCACAAGATGCAAGCTGACGCTGGCAGCAGGCTCTTGGGCGCTCACCCAGCAGCGCAACCGCAACGCCCTGGTGCCACTTGCCGCCGCCTGCGAGCTGGATCGACCGCTCGCGCTTCAGGCTGCGCTGCGCGCCGCCCGTCGGCGCCGGCGCCGCCAGCTCAACGTCTCTACCGCTGCTGCAGACCACGGTCGCGTCCTCGGTGCCCAAGCTACCGCCTGGGGCAGCCTCACTGATTATCCCCTTCTGCAACAGGTCACCAGGCCTCAGCGGCCGGGCTGACTCCTGCGCCTCCACGCCATCCTCTTCGCCCGTGCCCTGCCGCTCCTCGCCCTCGCGCCGCTGCCGCTGCTGCCCTCGGTGGCTGAACAGGTGGGCGGCTGCGCCCAGGGCAATGGCCAGTATGGCGCACGCCATTCCTGGGAAGACCAGGTGGGCGTTGTTGATGCCGCCGTCCAGGAAGTAGGTCAGCACCACGCCCACCACCACAGTTGTCGCGTTGAGCAGCGGCTGCGACGGCAGGGTGGAGCAGAGTGGCAGGATGGTGGGTGATACAATAGCGGGGTTGCCGCATGCAAGCAGGCCTGCTACTCACAAGCCCACACGCAAGGTCCACCAGGTTGTGATGCTCTATTGGGATGTGGACGCATTGCGACCTCGTCAAAGTAGAGCAAGGAGGCGAATTGAGGCAAGCTCGTGGTCAACGCTCAGCGCCGCCGCTCACGGGTCCGATGCTGAGGCCGAGGAGGGCCGTGGCGTACTGCATGGCGATGTCGCCGACCGCCAGGGTTACGCCGCCCGCAACGGCAAAGCCAATCACACGCCCGTTGGGCTGCCGCAGCTGCTCGAGGAAGTTGAGGTGGGGGATGCCGTCGGGCCCGAGCTGGCCCAGGGTGAGGGCGGCGAGTACGGCGACCAGTAGATAGGTGGTCGCGTAATCCATGAAAATGTGGGCTGGTGTCCGGCCCTTCTGCTCCACTTTGTTCCATGCCGCTGGCCAGCTGCAAGCGCGCGCATACAAACAGAATAGGGGTGAGGTGGGCAATGGTGGCAGGAAGATCAAGGGTGTGGAGGGGGATTGTTCAGCGGACGAGTGCCGACATGCAGGATGTGTGCAGTTGCTTGACAGGATGTGTGCAGTTGCCCAAATGGGGATGGTGGGGCAGCTGTTGCTAGCATCGCTGTTGCAGGAGCAGCGCAACACCCTAGGCTTGTAGCCTCCCATACTTCTGGATGTTGCACCCACAGCACCAGTGCTCCGATCATCCCAAGGCATCAGTGTCCTCCTGCTTACGTGCCGAGCAGCACCACGCCGGCCAGCATAAGCCCTATCGCCCCACCAAGGCTGTGCATCATCAACATGGCTGCCGCCTGCTGCTGCTGCTGCTGCTGCTGCTGCTGCTGCTGCTGCTGCTGCTGCTGCTGCTGCTGCTGCTGCTGCTGCTGCTGCTGCTGCAATGGGAGCGGATGTGTCACAGCTCACCACTCGCTGCCCAGAGGCGTGAGCTTCAAATTGCAGAACTACTCAAGATGATCCCATGCTCGTCTGCTGATCGGTACTCGCCGCGCCTGTGACGAGCCCTCACACCTGAGTTGCGCTGTGCGTCAGTGGGTGCACCTCAACGGGCACGCCGCACTGCACCCCAGCAAATCAGCACACGAGGGGCCAGTCATTCGCAGCGCTAGGTCCATTTATCCACATGAACAAGTATCAAAACTTCATTGTTCTCGCCCTCGCACTGTGCGGTTGGGTGATCGCGTGGCAATTTCGAACAGCCACGGTGTGCCTCGTGAGTTACGTAACTAACGACGGCGAGAACGAAATGTGATTGTAAATCATGATGCATCTTCATCTTGGTATACCCCACTCGCTTTGTGCACTCCGCTGCTTGCCGCACACCTGTTCCTTTGATCCCCGGTGAGACGGTGACGGCCGACTACGACTCCAAGGTAGTTGAGGTATACTGCTATTTAAGTGCTCTTTATCAATCAAGATCAAAGCATGCACACGTGACACAGGTGTGCATGCTTGGTGCTGTCAGCAGGAGGCGCTCTCAGATGGCGCTGCTGGACCTCCTTGAGGTACAGCAGCACTATCTTAGAGGGACGGCGCTGCCCTGCAGGTTGCTACCCATCACCTGTTTACCTGATCATACCAGGGTATTGCTGCAAGAAAGGCTTCCTGGCCAGCGCACTGGCCGCCCCTGCTGCTTGGTGTGTTGTCCAAACAAGGAAAAGGCCCTGCTAGGGCCATGTGTTAGGTGGCACCCATCACATCATATGGGGCAAAGGCGAAACAAGGAGCAGTGTGTTCCCACCCATTACCCCACACAGTATCTGTTTCTTGCGCCAAGGGTTGCTGTTCTGCGGCTGGAACCTCCAGATTGTGGTGTGCCAGGAGCACACCCTGGCTTTTGCACAGCACGATGCTCCCCTGTTGCAATGAGGTGGTGCCATTGGGCAGCAGTGCTGCAAGCTCACCGTTCTGGCTATTCTTGTGCAGCAGTATGGCAGCCTACCAGAATTCCGGTCCCTCTCTCACGTTGAGCAAAATATTATGACTGGGCTTGCGCAAAGTGGTGCATTGTTGCTCACCTGGCGTTGGGACAAACAGCCCATCAGTAGTTCTGAGGCAACGCTCTGTACCAATATCATGATGCCGGTCTCAGCAAGTTTCAGCGTAAATCCTGAGCCAAACATGTGTGTGAATCAGGACAGAAATTCAGAAGTGTGCCGCACAATTGGAAATCAAGATGAACAGATCGAAGGCATCAACCAAAACCCAAGGTTTCCCTCTTCCTAAGGGAATTGCGGGTGTTTGTCGCATGCATTAGGCGTCCACAAACCTGCTAATTGCCTCAGGCGCCATAAATTCATTCCATGGCCGTCATGTGGTCTCAGGTGACTTGCGACTCAGAGCATCGGGCACTTGCAACGCCTTGGAACAGGGGCTCGAACCAGCACCTCGTCAGAGGAAGCTGTTATGCTGCACCCCGTCTTCAGCGCCCCGCACTGCACCCACACTGTCCACTCGACACCTGCTGCTGGGAGGTGTCCCCTGCATCATGTTTGCACTTTTGGGTGGTTTAGAAAATGGCCTGACAATGTTTGTACTGGCGTAAAGGGACGAGTGTGACGGCCGCACATGGCGTCGCACTATCATCGGTTGACTGCTGTTCATGCACTTGCACCTGGCAGCCCAATGAGCAAAAGTGATTTAGCTTCTATGTGCATTGTGATGAACAGCCGCAGCTACACTATATTTTGTCCTGGAAACGGTATACATGTAGACCTGCACGGGCTTCAGGGCTGTCAGATTGAAGCAAGCGCGCTCATGTGCGAGGGGGCGTATCCAAGCTAATCCACAAGACAATCCAATCGTACATGTGAGGGCATGTGCGCCGTGGCTGTCGCGTGCCGTGCAAGCGATGGCAATTCGGTGGCAATTCGGGTGACTTGCTTGTGGGGTGTGAGCGAGTTGGCTGCGGGGGTGCTTTATGACAGGTGCATTGGAAGCAGGGGAAAGATAGGCAAGATAAGAAAAGCCTTTCTATGGGCGGACGTTACGCGGGGTGCACGGCCTTGCCATGCACCCATCCGCACTACGTGCGTCAGCCGGAGCCATGCATCCTGCTGTTGCTGCACTGCGCTGCTGCATGCGGAGCATGCTGCCATCTACACGCGCCGTGTTGCCGAGAGCCGCTTCATGCACACAACAACCCAGCGCACTTGCTTGGCATTGCACCGCAAACGGGGCGCACCCCGACCCGATCCTGTGTCCCGACCCGACTCACCCAAATCCCTTTGCACCCGCGCCGCCCCAAAGCTGTGGAGGGAGCGCAACCCCCGCTCTAGCCATGAGGCGCAACGCGTTGTTCTTGGGCCAGTTGCTGATGACGCTCATGCTAGCTGGGAGCGTCTCGCGGACTCGTGCGGATGCGCCATTTGGGGTGGGCGCACTCCGGGCGGCGTCAAGTCCTGGGTGGGCCAGCAGTGGCAGCCAGTGCGAGCGCGGACGCCAGCAGGAGCTTGGCATCAAGGATCAATCGACCTAGGCTGGAGTTGCCAGTGGGATGAAGGCAGCAGCAGCAGGAGTAGAGGCGTCTGCGCTGTCCGTCGCTCCATTTGCGCCACACTCGCCTCTGCCTCGACTGCGTGGGCGACCCCTACACGGCAGATTCGCCTGGTCATGGCAGTACAAGTGGCAAGAGGAGGAGTGGAACTCGACCTCGACATTCTCTTCACAGGCGTGATTCGGGTGCGCTGATATGCCACTTCAGCTTCTGCTCTCATGCCATGCCGCGCGGCCAGCACCTTGTTGGCGCACTGGAGCACCATGCACCGCAGCAAACCTCCGCAATACCCTGACGCCCACTGCACATGCAATTGGGGCAAGGGGTGTGCTTAGATTGCGAGTGGCGCTCAGGCCATTGTTCAGCAATTGTGCACACCCGCTCCATCAGGTGGGGAATACCCACCTAAGCCAAGCAGCTGGCACCCAACCCCTGATGCAACGCACAGGAGGCGGAGCCCCACGTCTGCGGGAAGTTCAGACCGCAGCCCAAGGGCCTGGAATGGGCCGCTCTCATCAGTGATCCTAAGGAAGGCTGCCAGCTGTGGTCGCAGGTGAGTCATGGTGCGTTTGTGGGCTCCGGATGCCTTGTCCTGCACTTGGTTCTGCCTTTGCGTTCGCCTTGCTTGGAAAGACCGGAAGCATAAACACAGACCCTAGTTGATCAGACTTCAGCACGCTGTGTCATGTCGCACCGTGTCCATTGTGATTTGACGCACCGTTGTCCCCTCTCCGCCCCTGTCCAGGTGTTGGCTGCTCACATGGCTGGCGCTGGCGCCGTGATCATACATAGCACTGAAGAGGAGGACTACCGCTTTAGGTCGACCAGTTCACTGCCAAACTCCACCATCCCCATGGCGGCCCTCCGAAGCGACCAGGGCAGGCGACTGCGGGATGCAATGAGCACCCTCGGGTCAAGCGAGGCCGCAAGGGCGATGGAAAAGGAGGTCGACAGCTTCAGGTCGACCCGTTCACTGCCAAACTCCACCATCCCCATGGCAGCCCTCCGAAGCGACCAGGGCAGGCGACTGCGGGGCGCAATGAGCACCCTCGGGCCAAGCGAGGCCGCAAGGGCCGAGGTGGTTTTGTCAAGTTTGGCGGAAGGCTTCCTGATCTTGAGCTCGCCCTTCCGCGGCGTCGCGCCAAAGCTGGTGCGCTCCAGGGCGGTTTTTGGGCTGCTTGGCGCCCTCGCAGGCAGGGCCTTGTAGCCCCAACGCCTAGGTTCTCATGCAAGATAGATCAACTGCAAGGCACCGACGAGGGCTGCGGGGGAGCTGCAGTATGGTGTGTCGAAATACGCGCAAAGTGGACTGCACAGTCCGGGCTCATCACCAGGCAACCGCGTAGTTGCCGTGCAACTCTCGCACACAACCCACAGGGGCCGCGCAAGGCGGAGCGAACCTTTTTGATCTCAGGCAGCAGCGAGGACGTCATCGCCCGGCTTCGCAAGCTTGCGCCTACGCTTCAGAATGGGGACGCAATCCAGATTGCGCCAAACGGGGGCGTGCTGATCATCACCTCCATGCCCAAGATAGTCATTGAAGTGCCCGTCACCATCTCTGGCGGACCTCTGGACTCTCCAGCTGCCGTCGGCCCGGCAAACCCGCGGGGCGCGCCCAGCGGGTCAACAATTGTGCAGGGCAACGGATCCATATTCTCAAACGCAAGCCTGCTGTTTATCATCAGGCAAGAGCGGAGGCGGCCGTTACGCGGTGCTTGCCTGGGGCATACCTGACGGGCTATCCCCAATAGGTGGACGTTGCGAGCAGCTCTTGCCCCTGGCCGCATCACGCAGAATGCAAGCTCACACCGCGGAGCGCGGCACGCATTCCATTTGCACCACTGGCGCCAGGTCGCCGGGCGTTGTCATTCAAGATATCACTTTCTCGGATTTTGATGGCACACCCATTGAAGTTGAAGCCACGGTGGACACAAGTATTGACAAGGATTCACAGTACATGCCAGTGCAGCTGCGGCGCGTCTCGTTTGTCAACAATGATCAATCGGTGAACGTGGTTGAGAGCTCGGCAGTCGCCTTTTTCAACTGCCTGCTGCAGCACAACATGTCAGGTCCCTCCAAAAATCGAGGCACAGCCGTGCTGGTTGATCGTGAGTCGAGCCGCCTTTTCATGGCCGACACTGACTTCATAGGTGAGAGTGTGTGACCAGAGGCCTGCGCAAGACGACATGCAAGTGAATACATGCGCACGCCCGCGTGCGTTTCTGTGCACGCGTGTGTGCGCATGCGTGCGTGCGGCATATGTGTGTGTGTGTGTGTGTGTGTGTGTGTGTGTGTGTGTGTGTGTGTGTGTGTGTGTGTGTGTGTGTGTGTGTGTGTGTGCGCGTGCGCGTCGACGCGCATGTGTGCGCAAGTCTGTGACGTTGTATGTGTAGATGCACACGCACATGCGCACGGTCGGCGTAGTCGCACGAGCAGGGGATATGTGCTGACACAACGGCAAAGGCTGCCCTCTTGCCTGTGCTGAACTATTGCTGGAATCCATGGAAGCGTTCTCCGGTGGCAGTCTGCATGTCACTGGCTTGCAGCTTTCAGGCTGGGTTGTGGCTTTCCGCGAGAGCTTCATTGGTCAGGCGTGACGCGCCGCGTCAGCCGGCGGATGTCCATCGCCCTCTCACAAGTGCCACCCGTTATTGGCACCCACACATGCTCACAAACAGATATCCAGGGAGACTGCATTTATTCACGAGCACTCGAGGTGTCCGCTGTGAGGACTCGTTTCCTAGGCACCACTGAAGGCTCTGCGGTGGTATCACTTGATGATTCGGGCCAATCATTCCAGATGTCGCGTGCCACCTTCCATGCATGCGAGTGGGTGAACAACAGCGTGAACAGCACGTTGCTGCTGTATAGGAAGGTCATCGCCGACTTGGTGGGTTGCTCCTTCACCCGCAACGTTGCGGACGTTGGGGGCGCCATCACGGTTCAAGGTGGCTGGTTGCGCTTGGTTGCGAACACGACGTTTGCTGACAACAAGGCCGTGTTTGGGGGAGCAATCTTCCTGGACGGGAGGCTGTGCATAGAGGGCCAGGGGTTCGACACTCCCCCGGCTTGTGATGTGGTGCTGGACAGGGTGCGCATCATCAACAACACCGCAACTGCGGGTGAGCGGACACACAGAGCACGAGCAAGCCTGCCATCACATGCTAGAACAATGCCCGGGGAACAAACTTCCAAATGACTCAAATATCCGCGTGCAGCCAGTGCGACGATGCTGAAGCAGCACAATGCCTGCTAGTCTCCTTGTGCTTGTGCAAACTCCGTGCCTGTTCAGCTCCCAACCCTTGGTCCAACTCACACATGAATAAAAGCGAGGCGCCCAATGCTGGCGTGCCAGGTCGTGCCAGGTCGTGCCGCACGCTTCGCCTCGCTCCCATGCCCTTTCCTCCCTACCTGTCAACCCTTCTGCAATTTTTGTATTGCAGATGGCGGCGGGGTGTACATATCAACTGGGCTTACATTCCGGTTCAACCTCACAAACAGCGAGCTTGCGGGTAGGTTGAGGATTGGGTTTCGGGACGTAGGGCT